AATTAATTAGTAAGTTGCGTCTTAGTAATCATTCACTGGGAATTGAAACGGATACGGCGCCATACTCAGTTGCCAGCAAGTGAAAGGGTATCATAAACGGTCTTCGCTGTAACACAAATCAGATCGAAGAAGAACAACGTTTTGTGATGTTTTGCCCTGCCTATGCCCAGCACAAAACATTCTATTTGCATCTGCGAGGAAAATATTGCACAATTTCAATATGAAATGAAAGCTATTGCCTACTGAGTAGAAAATCAGTTCAATATGTGGACAAATATAACTTATCATGTGAATGTGTTTGTATAATTTGCCTTTATTCCTTAACGACAGCATTATCATTTCTTTCGTTTTTCAACATGCTTATCTCTCGAGATGTTTTGATGCCGAAACAATGCGTAAATGAGTTTATTGAATTTCCATCTCGCTTTTACGACGACTGCCATTACTCCTATAATGATAATAATAATAACTGATAAATTGACATGTTCAGCAACAGCTCAACAAATACATCTTGTTATGCACTATACCTATATTTTAAAAATATAAAAACCTGCCCTTTGACCCATACATAGTCATATATCACCGGGAGATATTTTAAGCACAACACCAACGTAAGCTTAAGTTTAAACCATTGCTTGTACCTCGGGTACCGTTGAATACATAATCGTCATGAAGATACCTTGGTTGTTTGTTGCAGCCTTAATAACGGTGGTGTGTGTTTCATATACACTTGGCATAGATCAGGTAAGCTGGTGGTTTCGGTACGTTTACTAACCGTGGTTCGAGTATTACCCCCCCCCCCCGTCCGATGTCGACGGCGCAGTTTAATATTTCGTTTACATTCATAACTACAGAAGAAGGAATCCCATACATTTATATTTTATCGCCAATGTGACTTGAATGTTTTCCTTTCCAACTACTCGAGAGCATGGCCCACATTGCTGCGTGATATCGAAGGTTATCTGTTGAATCTGACAACTTACGAAGCATATAACAATGCGGTGAGCGTATAGCTAGCTACACTGTAATCCACACTACCTGACTAAATTTGTCTTCTTCTTCAGCTACTCCATGTCGACTAACACTATTATGTTTAATGAATAGTATGTTAAATCTTTTCTTATTTTATCCAGTCAACAGAAAAATGTGTATCAATGTATTGTTTATTTGTTTTATTGGTGACCATGTACAAAGGTGAACTAGATTAGACAACTGATTTTAATTGGCCCGGGTCACGGCATGTGAAATATCTCTGACTACATCTGTTGATTCAACTAGTATAAATTAGTATAGCATATTGGCAAACACACATAACATATTTAGTTTTTTAATCATCACTTAGGGCCATTATTGTTCTCAATGTACATGCGTCCATTGGGCGAGTTATTGCGACGTCACGGCGTAAAATATCATTTTTACGCCGATGACACACAGATTTATTTATCGGTTTCTGAAGATGATCAAATTCGCGCCCGGGTGATACTTCAGACATGTATTCAAGACGTTAGCGATTGGATGTCTTGTAATTTCCTACTTTTGAATGTGTCGAAAACTGAATTTGTGTGCATGTCGTCTCGGAGATTCTCACAAGACTCGTGTCCTTTGTCTAGTATCGCAATTGGTGAAGAATTGGTTAGTGCTTCGTCAAGTGCTAGAAACTTAGGTGTCTTGTTTGATTCGCAGCTATCTATGGA